TACGAAAAAATCGGGTGAGACGGGTGGTCTGGGACACCCTGTATATATTCATTCGAAATATGTATTGTTTACAAATTTGATGAACAGTACGATGTTTATTCAGCAGTATTCCATTCATTAACTGTACATTCTTCCTCAATAAGATTTTTTATAATAAGAATAAATTGATATGCCGCTCTAACTGTTATTCAGTGAAGCGAGCAAGTTTAGTCCAATTAATAATATATAAAATAGGTATGAAATGGTATATCATATAGAACTCATCAGTTGTATATAATGAAACAAATTATCAAACAGTTGTTTGAAACAGTTAGAACTCACAATTTCTTGCAACGTATATTATCGTTATAAAACAAATTGTCTCTTTATACTTCAAACAGAGCAATTTTTCTCAGCGTTTGCATATTCTATGTTAAAACAGTTATTACCAATTTCAAAAGTTTCTTGTCGAATGTGAAGTGTATTAATTAATCTCTTACAATTGTAATGTAAACGAACTACCAGTAAGATAGTTACACCGTAGATAAGTGAAGCAAGTATCATTTTTCATTGTTAAAATGTTGAAATTTTTAAGCTTACAATTCAAAAAGTTCATAATGAAAAAATATTTAATTATAGTGTTTTCGAAAGCTCTTAAAATAAGCTTCAAGAGTATTTAATGAAAAATAAGGTATACCCTTTGGAAAAACGTGACCTTCATATGACTTTCAAACGACTATTCAAGATCAAATCAATGACACCATCTTATGTTCATCTTGAAGCCATACAACTTTGTCTGAAATATTTTTTTCTAAAATATGTTTCCGAGATAAAAGGGGTGTACATGTGGTCTGAGACACCATGTGCGAGGTGTGTTCATAAAATAACGGGAATTTTTAAATTTCGCGGGTTTGGAGAGTCCGATCGTCAAAATTTTTTTTTATTATGTTGATATACATGCCCCTGAAGTATGATAAAATTTTCAGCTGTATTCATTGTTTACTTTGTCTGTGGCAGCCGCTAAGGTTAGACGTGTTTTTATGAACTCGGCGATTTTCGTTTGTTAAAAGAAATGGATTAAAGAATTTGTATCAAATTTTGCGTAAAAAAAGTGTAACAAAGTGTGTGAAATGTTAACAAAAGCCTATGGTGAGTCTGCTATGAGTAAAATAAGGGTTTACGAGTGGTATAAGCGTTTCCAAGATGGCCGTAAAGATGTTGAAGATGACAAACGCCCCGGACGCCCCAGCACATCAACAACCGATGAAAACGTGGAAAAAATGAAAGAAATGGTTATGAACGATCGCCGAATCACAATCAGAGAAGTCGCTGATGATGTTGGCATATTGATTGGCTCATGCCATGAAATTTTTTCGAATGTTTTGGTTATGAAACGCGTGGCAGCAAAATTTCACATCACTTAATTGCTTGTTCGTGAATTTTTGGCCAAAAACAATACTGTAACGATGCCCCAGCCTCCATATTCGCCAGACATGGCTCCGTATGACTTTTTCCTATTTCCAAAAATAAAGAGAACCTTAAAGGGCCGTCGTTTTACAAGCATAGATGACATTAAAAGCGCATCGCTGAAAGAGCTAAAAGCTATCCCAAAGGTCGAGTTTGAGAAGTGTTTCGAGGATTGGAAGAAGCGCTGGCACAAGTGCATAATATCTAATGGGTACTATTTTGAAGGCGACAACATTAATGTAGACGAATAAATAAATATTTTTTTCAAAAAACGAAAATTCCCGTTATTTTCTGAATACACCTCATATAACTGCGACTAACGCACCGTTTCGCGAGTGAGACGGGAGCACTAGAGGTTCGGAACATGGGAAATTAATTGTTACATTAACTAATCAAAAGGAAACCTTTTTACGTCTCTGTTTGTTAAATAAATTAACGGCAGCACCATTAGGGCCCACGCAATTTGGAATGTTGCACCCTCCAGCACTCCAGCTTTATTCATGATGCACAAACATCAATATTAAATAGTTATTACCGACTCAAAGCATTGTAAACGTGCGACCCTTAATAGTTACCATGCACACATTTTCTACACCGATTCAATTTTCGAAAAACGTTTACCGTTATTTAGAAGCGTGTGACGGGTCTGGAGCCTTTAGGTCGCGACTCTTATCAATGCCAGTGTCCGATAACGCTTCCGTCGAAATGAAAGGAAGAAGAAGGCGAGTCAGAGGACCGCGAGAAAGATTGATGATGAGACACTTCTTGTTCAGCAGCCTAGTCCAGGGGTTTTCCGCACGCTTTTTCTAGAAATCGCGATCACCTCCAGGTGTACAGTCAACCCTCCTATAACGCGGTATTCTCAGAACGCGGTTTCCATATAACGCGGAGCTGAAATTGCGACAGCCCTCCTATAACGCGGTACTCTTACAGCGCGGTTTCCGTTCAACAACGTCCCATCAGTTCTTTCTGTGCACCCAATGAATGATTTTAACCACTTGCGGTGGAAAGACGTGCTACGCACGTCGTAATGCTTTTGTCGCAGAATCGCCAACGACGTGGTATACACGTCGTCAAGCAATTGTCACAGAAACGACGTGCGTGACATGTCGGCTGAGATTGCTGGCACTGTTCGAGCGACAGCGAAGAAGCGCAAAATCGCTCCGTGGCACTCAAACGGTTTATTTGTGGTTTATAATTGGACAACATTACACAATACTGTAAGTAATATTCTTCATTTGTTCTAATATAATAATAATAAAGTAATTTTTAACCCTAGATTTGCATGATGTCAAACACAAAAGAAACAAGGAAAGGATTAAAAAGAAAGTTTATATCTCTTGAAGATAAAATCCAAATTTTAAATCGTTTAGAAGGTGGGGAAAAAATATCGTCTGTTGCAAAATCAACAAATTTGAATGAATCTACAATTCGAACCTTAAAGAAAAATGCAGATAATATAAGGAAAACTGTGGCAAATGGTTGTCCGTTAGGTGCGAAACGTGTCACTCGCACACGAAATTCTAATATAGTTAAAATGGAACGGGCGTTAATGATCTGGTTGGAAGACTGTATAACCAAAAAGATTCCTATCAGTGGAAATCTTATCAAGCAGAAAGCACTTAAAATCTACGAACATTTAAGGAATATTGGGCATTCTTATGCAGGGCTACAAAATCATTCGTTTGTCGCGAGTAAAGGATGGTTTGAAAAACTAAAAAAAAGGTACACATTGCACAATATTAAGTTTCAAGGAGAACAGGCCTCAGCAGATGCTGAGGCTGCCGAAAATTATAAGCTGGAACTAGCTAGAATTATCAATGAAGGAGGTTATTCACCTGATCAGATTTTTAACGCCGATGAGACGGCATTATATTGGAAAAAACTACCATCTAGAACCTTCATTTCGAAAAATCAAAGGCGTGCTCAGGGGTTTAAAGCTTCAAAAGAACGTATCACTCTTCATGTGTGCAGCAATCTATCAGGGAGCCTGATGATAAAACCAATGATAATAAATCGTTCTTCAACTCCCCGTGTAATGAAAAACATTAATAAGACCCAATTGCCTGTATTCTGGCGATCTAATAAGAAAGCTTGGATGACTCAAGATTTATTTAAGGATTGGTTTTATAATTGTTTTATCCCGGCAGTGGAAATCTATACGATGGAAAAAAATTTGTATTTCAAAGTTTTATTGGTTCTTGATAACGCTGGTTGCCACAACATAGAACTGGATCATCCAAATGTGAAAATGGTCTTCCTTCCTCCTAACTGCACGTCATTAATACAACCTTTGGACCAAGGAGTCATTCAAACTTTAAAAATGTACTACACACGCCAACTTTTCCAAACCATTTTCGACAGATTAGAAAATAGTGAAAATAAAACTCTTACTCAAGTGTGGAAAGAATTTACTATTTTAGATTGTATTAGAACCGTGTCATCGGCCTGCGCGGAAATTAAACCATCAACGCTTAATGCGTGTTGGAAACCTCTTTTACCTCAAATGGTTCAAGCAATACAAGATGATTCTACAATTTCACTCCCAGTTTCAGAAATAGTAAACATTGCTTCTCGTTTAAGCGATGAAGAATTTGTAGTAAGCCATCAGGATGTAAGAGAACTAGTACTCGGGGAAGAAACTTTAGATGAGGAAGAACTGATGGAATTAATTGATGCACCTACCTCAAATGCATTGCTAAACGAAAATATGGAAAACGAATGGGTGCCAAATCTTGATTTACAAGATGTGAAAAAAGGGCTAAATTTGGCTAAAGAATTAGAACTTCATTTCATTCAAATTGATCATTCAACGGTGCGCAGCGCAAAGTTTAAAAGAGAGTTAAGAAATTGCTTAGCTCCCTATAGAGAGGTTTTAGTGGAGTTAGAAAAAAAAGCTACAATCGAAAACCAATGTGAAGATGAACCAAGTGAGGAAGACATTTTACCCATTAAAAGAAGACGAGTTAGGCGACTCATATTTGACAGCGAGGATGAGTGTTAAAAGATTACATAATTTTACAAAAGTCTTTCTTTTTTTTTATTGGAAAACAGTTTTTTAGTTTAGTTTTTGTTTCATTTTTTTTTATCATTTCCTTATATGAACTCTTCAATTCAATAAAAATAATTTATAATTTATCTTGTCTTTTGTATTTATTGGTCTCCATATAACGCGGTACGAATGATGTGATTTGTACTAATTCTGAGTTTCTTATAGCGCGGTTTCCATACAACGCGGTAGATGGTTTCCATACAACGCGCTACGAATTAGCCTGGTTTGTACGGTTAAATCCGAGTTTCTTATAGCGCGGTTTCCATATAACGCGGTACGCACTCACCGCGTTATAGGAGGGTTGACTGTATTTCGCTAACACTCGTATACTGATACTAATGTGTCTAGCCTCTCGTTCTGCCTTGTAGTAAAATTTTAAGAACTCGCCGCAAATGTCAGTGTGAAAAGAAAAAAAATCTGTGAGAACGTAATGTCGTGGATTATATCATTTTCCTCGTGGTGTATCACCGTTGCCAGCTCTCTACCGTCTACTCGAGTGTTCGCCTCCTCTTTCTTTTTCGGTGGCCGCTACTGGCGCGCAATAACATCCGGTCTCGTAAGTTTATAATATCATGTCTAGAAGTGTAATGTTCGATTGCGTGCTGTCTCGAACCTTCCCATCAAAATTTTTATATCCTCTTCTTCAAACGAACTATGTTAACCTATTATCTCTATACTCATTTTTTTCATTTCGTTTGTCTAAATTTAATTATTTTTCACCACCACTCAATTTAATTATTTTCCATCACCTCTCAATTGCCACCTTATCTCGGCCGATAATATATCAAGATTTAATATTATAATAAATAACAAAATTTTTTTATATAGGCATTTTGTTTTACACCAAACCTAATTAGATTCAATATGTATTATGCACATATGTGGTCTTATTGTTGCTAATTCACTATGTATGACTTAAAAGAAAAGGTGCTACGTCTACATAACTTTACATATTAATTGGAATATAACGACCGGTGACACACGACTTGAATCGAAAAATCAACAGATTGATAAGAAGTGCATACCATAAATATTGATTATGTTTCATATCATGAGAAACATCTTTTCCTTTCTTTAAAGAGGTAGCAAGAGCTCGGGAACGTCTCATCACCTGCCTATAAAAAAGTGATCGCCGAAAATCATTTCAGACAAAAAGGCAGATAAACGACGGTAAGACAGAACGGGCAGACAAACTGATGCACATAAACAGACTTATGTATATTAATTCATTTGTATAAATAAACATTCAGATTCAAACTGTTCATTCGTGGACATATCAAACATATTCGAGCGTATCATCCGAGCGTATTATCATTATTAACATCATCATCATCATTATCATCATTATCATTATAGATAAAAGAAATCACTTGCATGATCGATATTCTATTTTAACTGTTTCTTATACGTTGTTATAATTTATCCCATGATGATGCTTATAGCCGAAATCATAATAAACCATAATAAATGTATGTTTTAAGCATTCCTCCATTATCATCTGCAAGAGTAGTATTACATTTAACTTTCCAATACCCAAACCTCCGCAGTTCAACCCTACATTCTCTCTTCAATCGCTTAAAAGATTTACACATTATCATATTTTATCATATAAGAATACAATGTAAAAGAGATTTTGAAAAAATAACTAAAATTATCAATAGTTAATACACACACACACACACGCGCGCGCGCAAGCACACATTCACACGCACATTTATTCCAAACATCGCCGTGTGGATTAGACAGAAACACGGGGGGGTAGATCATTACCTGACCTAGCTGTTGATTGGATACGGCTGTTTTAAATTGTACCAGCATTGTTTTAAGCTGGATGATGATCCCATATGCCCATTCTGTTTTCCCGCGATTAAAGTTGTAAAGCATATCTTCCTTAATTAGTCGCGCTTTCACGAAGAGAAGATGGAAATCTACCAGCTCCTCCAGCAACAGCTGACTCCGGAGAACATCGTCTCTCGAATATTGGTCTTCCAAAAGCATTGGAATGCGATAGCAGACTATGCTGCCGGCATCATTAGAAAACTAAGGCAAGAGGAATGCAAGCGAAGAGGTCGGCTATAGGAAGGTGAGAATGAGGTTTATTAAGCAATAATACCTAAGATTGAAGGGGCTATCATAGCCAATCTGTACAATTTTTCCACAAAATAATGCTTGATGGCGGTCCTGTTGGGTGGTAGTGGAATATAAAGAAGTGGTTTTTTAGTGGGTAGGAATTCCACTCATGTGGCGTACAGGTTCCATGGTGTCTTTAGATACTACCCTCAGAAAAAAAACATACATGCGCGCGCGCACCTACGCACGCGCATACACATATACATACATGCGCGTGCACGTGCGCCGACACACACACACACACACACAAACACACACACACACACTTTTCCATCTCGAGATAAATTGATTAAATCCTCTGACCTCGAAAAGGACAAATTAACAACAATCAAACACATAGTACGACGTGACAGGGGATCTTTGTCTTTTATTACTTATTTTTTGTTACTTGTTCAAAATATCATTTTTTCCTTATCTCTTATCCTGGAATCCTTTAATTCTTATTTTCTCCTTTTCCGCAGATATTTTCCCTGTACTTCTACATCTTTTTTGTCCTCATTTTCATTCTATAATTAATATTTCTCTATTATCCCTCCTTGTTTTCTATATCTATTCTCTTTTTCTATCCTCCTTGTCTTATCTCTCTAGCTACTTCATTTATTTTGTCACCACTCTATCCTAATAGATATAATTATTTATCTATTTCAAGAGGTCGGTTATAGGAAGGCTATAATTATTTATCTTATTTCAAATCTTCTATTTTTGTTTACTTATTCTCCTTTGTATCTCGTTTTTTTTTCTCTAATACCTAATTTCTAATACTTTGCTCTTTTCTTTTATTCATCGAGATTCCCATCTTTTTTCCTTGCCCCTTTTACTTTTCCCTCCTCATTTCTTTCTTTTCTTCTTATAGCATCTCCTCTTATTCTATCCTATCTTTCTTTTTCTTCCTTACTTAATCTCTAAGTTTCCACTCCGTCCTCTGTCAGGCTTCTTCTTCTATTTTCTTATTCTCGACATCTATCATTATACTCTTAATTACTCCATCTCTTACTTCCTTCAACCTTTTACCACCCTCTCATCTTTCTTACAAACAATCCCTTCCTTTCTACTTTTATTCCCTTTCCTAACCAACCGCCTGAAAATTACCGTGTTACGCTAATAATTATTATAAAATACGTCAATGTAGCCAAAGCTTAATCCTTTGGCTGCCAGCGGGCTGATCTTTCGGCCCGCGGTACGTATGCGAGAACT